GGGCACCTGGGCTTTAAAAAGGAGCTCACTTCAGTTTGTAGTGTGAGGAGCTGGGAGCAAGAGATGCAAGGAGCTAAGAGTGAGCTGCTGGAGGGCTGAGGAGCACAAGCGTTATCAGACACCAGGAGGAAGGTCCTGTGGTGAGAATAAGGAAGGTGTTTGGAGGAGGCCATGGGGAAGTAGCCCAGGGAGTTGTAGCTGTTGTGCAGCTGTTACAGGAGGCACTATAGACAGCTGCAGTCCACAGGGTCCTGGACTGGAACCCGGAGTAGAGGGTGGGCCTGGGTTCCGCCCAAACCTCCCAATTCACCTGGACTGTGGGTTCTTCCAGAGGGGAAGGTCTCTGGGCTGTTGCCCAACCCACATGGTGAATCTCTGAGGCAAGAAAATCCGCCAATAAGCGCAGGACCCACCAAAATAGAGGAAGAACTTTGTCAGAGTATTCAGTTTGATTAGACACAGATTTGTGTGTTTTATTTTATTTTGCTTGGTGACTTACTTTGTTCTATCTGTTACTACTTGGAACCACTTAAATCCTATTCTCTGTATTTAATAAAATCACTTTTTACTTATTAATTAACTCATGGTATGTATTAATACCTGGGTGGACAAACAGCTGTGCATATCTCTCTATCAGTGGTATAGAGGGAGGACCATTTGAGTTTACCCTGCATAAGCTTTATACAGGGTAAAATGGATTTCTTTGGGTTTAGACCCCATTGGGAGTTGGGCATCTGAGTGCTAAAGACAAGCACGCTTCTGTGAGCTGTTTTCAGATAAACCTGCAGCTTTGGGACAAGTGATTCAGACCCTGGGTCTGTGTTGGAGCAGACAGGCATGTCTGGCTCAGCAAGACAGGGTGTGGGAGTCCTGAGCTGGCAGGGAAAACAGAAGCACGGGTAGTTTTTGCACATCGGGTGACAGCTCCCAAGGGGGTTTCTGTGATCCAACCCATCAGTCCCAATTTCTCTCTCCCTTTCCGGCATCCACAACACCTGAAGAACAAAGGAAGCAGCATTGGGACTGCCGGAGACATCCCAATGGAAAGAGATTCAGAGAGACCTTGTCTTTGAATTCAGTCCACTTGTTACGTTAGGTGTTAGTTGTGGGTGACTTTCATTTTCTTGAAACCAGTTTGGACTTTTATGCCTCATTATAGTCACTTAAAATCAATCTCCTGCAGTTAATAAATCTAACCCCAGATGAATTCTACCTCCAGTGCCAGTGTGGGGGGGCTGGAGGGGTTGCCCCGAGTCTGTGAGACGCGCCCGGCCCCACTCACCTGGGGGGGAGGGTCCCTGTGCTACAGTTCTGCACCAACTCCGGGCACCGCTCTGCCCCCATCACCAGGGCCTTGGGGCTGGAAAGGAGAAGGAGGATTACACATGACCAGGGGAGCCTCCCCCCACAGGGCCCCCCCAGCACTTCCCCTGCCCCATTGCCCCCTCCCCCAATTCACAGAGCCCCCGCTCCTCCCCTCCCCTTCCTCTCCCTGCACCTCCTTCCCTGCCCCACACTGCTTCACTGACTCCTTTATCTTCCCCTCCCCCATATCCTTGCCACTACCTCCTTCCCTGCCCCACATCCCTCCAACTGTGTCTTTCCCCTGCCCCACAGAGCTGGCGGGTCCTGCACAGGTTAGCTCCAGGCATGAGCCCCCCTCCCTCCCCAGCAGTCCCCTGGGGCGCCCAGCCCCGGCACCGGATTTACGGCACCGTGACAAACCCCACGGTCGAGGCCGGGATCTAATAAAGAAACCCTGCGTCAGGTTGGGCAGCAGAATCCCCGCAAAATGCCCGAGCGAGGAAGTGAGATGTTTCTGTCATGGGTCCATGCCTCAGTTTCCCCTGTCTTTTGCCGGGCTGCCTGGGGGAGAGGGAAGGTTTACATTTACTGCTGTGGGCTGGTGGGTCTGTGGGGAACTTGGAGGGTGGTTTGAAGGCCGGAAGAGGGGGTTTTGGGCTGGGATTGTTTGATGATCCCCCGGGTGAATTTCAGGGGATGGCAGGTGGCAGCGAGGGGTGTGGGGTTGGCGGGGGGTTATTTCCGTACTGAAGCAGGTTATCTCGGGCAGTTGGAGGGGCCTGTTCCAGGAGGGGATCGATTTCTCCGGGGCAGTGTCTTCGAGCGGCAAAGGCAACGTTCAGGGGTACGTCCCGCGGAGCCTGTTCTGGGGGCTCGGAGCGCCTGGCTGTCAAGCACAGATTTCTGGGGGATGGGGCATCAGGGAAGTGCCAGGGACCCCCGGGGACTAGCACCTCAAACAGACCAGTTCACAGCTTTGATTTTCACGGGGTCTCCCCCGGCCTGTCTGGAGAAGCCTGGATTGGGGCTCGCCACCTCGGGATGATCTTTGTTGACAGGGCTTCTGAGCGTAACTCACCTGACGCAGCCAGTCGCACGCCCCGCGAGACACAGGCTGGGGGGAGAAACTTTTCATGACATCCTTTGCTGAACACCAGACCACAGTAGGGGTAGAAACCAGGAGTCCTGGGTCTCCACAACCCCCCTTGCTCTAACCACTAGCCCTCACTACCCTCCCAGAGCCTGGGAGAGAACCCAGGAGTCCTGGCTCCCGGCCCCCCACTCACTCACCTCTGAAGGCTCCACAGCTCAGAGATGCTGAAGCTGATGCTCATACCCAGGACCAGCGCCCAGCTCTGTCTCTGCAGCATCCTCGGGGGGGCCCATCCTGCCGCTCGCTGTGGGGGGAGCAGGGCAGGTGAGACACATTCACACACGATGGGGGAATCCACCGGGCACGGCCTCCCTGGGGGGGCCCCCCTCCGCCCTGGCCGCCTGGATATCATAGGCTGGGAGCCAGGACTCCTGGGTTCTCTCCCCAGCTCTGGGAGGGGAGTGGGGGCTAGTGGTTAGAGCGGGGGGGGGCTGGGAGCCAGGACTCCTGGCTGTCAGTGCTGGACACATTCAGACCAGAGATGAGGGTAGACTTTGCCCGGTGATGGGAGATCACTTCGCCAGCAAGTTCGAAATCCAGCGTTTCGCGGCTGGAGCCAAAGCAGGGCTGGGGGGTCATAGACTCATAGAATATCAGGGTTGGAAGGGACCTCAGGTGGTATCCAGTCCAACCCCCCTGCTCAAAGCAGGACCAACCCCCAACTAAATCATCCCAGCCAGGGCTTTGTCAAGCCTGACCTTAAAAACCGGAACCCATTCCAGTGCTTCACCACCCTCCCAATGAAATAGTGTTTCCTAATTTCCAACCTAGACCTCCCCCATTGCAACTTGAGACCATTGCTCTTCGTTCTGTCATCTGCCACCACTGAGAACAGCCAAGCTCCATCCTCTTTGGAACCCCCCTTCAGGTAGTTGAAGGCTGCTATCAAATCCTCCCTCACTCTTCTCTTCTGCAGATTAAATAAGCCCAGTTCCCTCAGCCTCTCCTTGTAAGTCATGTGCCCCAGGCCCCTAATCATTTTCGTTGCCCTCTGCTGGACTCTCTAATTTGCCCACATCCTTTCTGTAGTGGGGGGGCCCAAAACTGGATGCAATACTCCAGGTGTGGCCTCACCAGTGCCAAATAGAGGAGAATGATCACGTCCCTCGATCTGCTGGCAATGCTCCCACTAATGCAGCCCAATATGCCGTTTGCCTTCTTGGCAACAAAGACACACTGCTGACTCATATCCAGCTTCTCGTCCACTGTGACCCCTAAGTCCTTTTCTGCAGAACTGCTGCCTAGCCACTCGGTCCCTAGTCTGTAGCAGTGCATGGGACTCTTCTGTCCTAAGTGCAGGACACTGCACTTGTCCTTGTTGAACCTCATCAGGTTTCTTTTGGTCCAATCCTCTAATTTGTCTAGGTCCCTCTGTATCCTGTCCCTACCCTCCAGCGTATCTATCACTCCTCCCAGTTTAGTGTCATCTGCAAACTTGCTGAGGATCAGTCCACACTATCCTCCAGATCATTAATGAAGATATTGAACAAAACCGGCCCCAGGACCGACCCTTGGGGCACTCCGCTTGATACCGGCTGCCAACTAGACATGGAGCCATTGATCACTACCCGTTGAGCCCAACGACCTAGCCAGCTTTCTATCCACCTTACAGTCCATTCATCCAGCCCAAACTTCTTTAACTTGCTGGCAAGAATACCGGGACAGAGGGGCGGAGGTGGGGGGGTTATCCTGGGATAGAAATCCCTTCCCTGGGGAGGTTGGTCCAAGGGCTGGGGAAATTGAAGAATGTTTTTGGTAGGAGCAAGTGTCTGCCAGCTTAAGATGGCTGGATGGCTCTAAATCAGACCATGGGCAGCTGTTGGAAAGAATCAGAGAGTTGGAAAAGACAGAAGACGTGTTAGAGGAGGACTAAGAATCGGTTCCCATCCCTCTGGGCATGGTGGAGACAGAGAAACCGGCTGGGCCAATCACTAGAAATAGGGCGAGCGAGTTAGCTCAGCACCTTCAGGAGCGGAGCTGGAGATTGTCGGAGGAGCCACAGGGAGAGTCAGGAGAGGACGGGAGCAGCGCAGAAACTACCAGCAGTCTGCAGGTAGGAAGAGAAAGTCCCAGGGTGGCACCCCAGGAGGTGAAGTTGAGTGTCATCATAAAGAAGGCAACTAGTAATGTAAAAAATAAGACGGGCAGAGCAAAGAGGGAGGAGATATCCTCTCCTCAGTTGGTGTCCGCCCCGATAGTGAAGAGGGAGTGCCTCTAGAGACTGTGATTGTTCAGGGACTAGAAGATGCGGTGTCACAAGTGACGCAAGTAGCTAGTGCCTGGGATGTAGTAATCTCTAACTTACAACAGAGAGAGAGACAACAACAGAGGGAGGCAATTCCTGCTCTTCCACCCAATGTTGCATTGGCACCCTATAGATCAGGAGACCCAGCTACTTTGGGTGGACACTTACTGGCATTTGGGTGATCATCAACATCGCCTAGGTCTCTAGAATTTTGTGGACCTGCTACACCCCCTTGGTACATGCTGGTGTCACTGGTAGAACACCCCACTACACCAGATCCTAATGGACCAAGAGATGTCCTGCGTCAGTGTGGAGTTGCCCTGAGTGTAGGATGTAGAGGTTTTATGGAAAGTTACCCTGCTCGTCCAGGATTATTCAGGTATTAACACATACTCTGAGTTAATTAATAAGTAAAAAGTGATTTTATTAAATACCGACAGTAGGATTTAAGTGGATCCAAGTACTATCAGGCAGAACAAAGTGAATTGCCAAGTAAAATAAAACAAAACACACAAGTCTATGTCTAATACAGTAAGAAACTAAATGCAGGTAAATCTCACCCTCAGAGATGTTCCAGTAAGCTTCTTTTACAGACTAGCCTCCTTCTAGTCTGGGTCCAGCAATCACTCACACACCCCGGTAGTCACTGTCCTTTGTTCCAGTTTCTCCCAGGCATCTCTTTGGAGTGCAGAGGCTACCTCTTGAGCCAAGTGAAGACAAAATGGAGGGGTTTCCAGGAGCTTATATAGTCTCTCTCTTGTGGGTGGAAACCTCTCACACACACACACCCCCCCCGCCCCGTGTAGAATCACAGCTACAAGTTGGCGCTTTGGAGTCACATGGGCAAGTCACATGTCCATGCATGACTCGTTCTTTACAGGCCGACGCCATTGCTTACATGTTAGTGTGAATGTTCCCAGGAAAGCTCAGATGTGGATTGGCATCTCTCACAGTCCATTGTCACCTTAAGTGGGATGAATATATTCAGTAGATCACAACCTTTGCAGACTTATGTGACATGGCATATCTAGCTGTGACGAAGTGGGAATGTTCTTAAGGTTGTCTCTGAATACTGTGTGGGTGCCTCAGTTTCCCCTATGCAGTTCTTAAGTATCTCGGTGGTGGAATAAGGGGGTGTGATTGTTGCAGAACCCTAGAGGGACAGTGAGATGCTGTCTGCACAGAGAATGGCCGACACCCCATCTCCTGGCCACTGATGGCCTGGGCCCCTCCCCTGCAAAGGTGCCAACTGAAGGTGTTGGAGAACAAAGAGATCAGGTGGCCTCTTGGCCCGTGAAACATTGGGAAGTTCACCAAGGCCCAGTCAATCGTGCAGCTGGAGGACGAGGACCGCTCTAAGGAGCAGATTCCTGACCAAGATGAGGCTACAAGAGGATCTGGAAGCAGCAGGAGCAGTAGCCAGGCATCCCCAAGAGTCGGTCCCCAACCAGACGGCGGTCTTCACGATCGGGTTCCCCATCGGGGGATTGGAGACGGATGGGACTGGAGCTGAGTCTGAGAGAGCGAGAGGACCATGAGAGAGAGCAAGAGCCTGAGGAAAAGCTGCAGGAAAAGCAACAGCAGCATGGACTGGCGATGGTGGAGCAGAGAGGGATCGGGGGCTCCCCAGGGGTGAGTGGGGATAGACCCCAGGCTGCCAGTTCCACAGAGAACCTCGACACTAAATTGCTGCCCCTGGTGAAGGAGGGGGGGGGGGGATGTGGATGCCCACCACACGGCCTTCGAGCAGGCTGGTGATTTGAACCAGGGGGACCCTGCGGAAAAGCCCCGGTATCTAGCCCCCTTGCTGGGTCCCAAGGCCATAGATGCTGTCAGCCAGATGGGTGGGGTGGAGGACAGGCTTCCACTCCTGGCCCCGGCCTATATATCTGCACGGAGTCTCCTGGGCTCAGGCCCCTCGGACCCCCAGTGGGGGCGGAAGATGGGGGTCCTGGAGATGAAGGAGCAGCCTCACTCCTGGCAGGCCGGATAATGCGATGGTTCTGCTTCCCCAATGGTTACGAAGGTTGGGTGGTTGTACTGTACTGCACAGCTGAGCTCACAGCGTAAGGGAAGATCGAATAGCTTGATAGATAAAGGAGAATCTGGAGAATAGAGGAGAACAAAGACAAGAAAGAGCTCCTGGAAAAAACACTCCAAGAAACCAAAGCTTCCGGTGCTAGAAGAGCCTCCTGACTCTTCCTTACCAGGTATTTTATGGGATCCTGACGCTATGTAACTCAGGCCCAACCTACTATAGCCAAATCTTATTTCCATATCCTAAGAACTGTATGGGGACCCTTCTCCTCTAGGTTAGTGGATTATCACACTTACTTTCTATGGATATTAATAAGGATGATCTCTCTCCAAAACTGCCAACCTAGGCTCTCTTGGTGACCTCCAAGTAGTGATGGACCCTGCGGTTACCAACCGGTTGCAGATGCCGGATAAACCTGTTCAGTGTTGTGTGTGGTTCCTCTCTTTGGTTCCCCAAAGTTCAGGGACCATTGGCAGCTTTTCTGCTGACCTACTCGGAACTGATGATACTTTTAGCGATAGTGCAGGTCTGACCGGATCTTACAGGCTGGTTGGTTTCTTGAATTTCAGCAAAACTTATTCTTAAGAAACAGATGCCTGAACACACCCTAAATTCAAAGGAATGAATACGGATAAAATATAAGAATGAAATGGATGAATTCAGAAAGAAATGTTTTCTTTGATACGGCTGGCTGGATTAGTAGGATATAATAGCTAACAAAATAATCCTACGGGCTACACTCTCTGTAGTTTAATAAACTTGTTTTATGTTTGTCACAGACTCACAGATCGTGCCCACTCTTGGCCCCGTGCGGTCCATGTGGGGGTGCCCCTTTCAGTGCGACAGCCCTTCTCGGGGGGTCCACTCTCTCCCGAGGTCAGGCCCCTCCACCTCCTGGAGCCGCACCTCTTGGAGCCTTAGCACATCCATCTCTTGCCGTGGGCCCCCTCAGGGAGTCCCCTCACTCTGCATCCCCGGGCCTCCACCCCCCGAAGGGGACAATGCCCCCACCCCCGTTCTCTAGACCGGAGTGACTCTCAGCCAGCGTAACACAGGAGGTTTTATTGAGCATTGAACATAGCACAGGAAACTCTCCGGGCCTGGTCTCCCTCAGCCCAGCACATCCCAGTCTCCCCTGCATCCAGGTGGGCTCTGCCTGTCCCCCCCCTCCAGCCCAGAGCCCCCCTGCTTTCCAGCTGGGTATCTGATATCACCGGCCCCAAGCCCTGCCTCTGTCCATTGTCTTCTCTCCAGATAAACAGGGTCGCCTGGGCCTCCTCTCCCCTCTTCTGTCCTCTGGCTGGAACCAGCTGGTCAGGTCACCGGGGTCCTCTCCCCACAGCCCATTGTCCTCCCACTGGCCAGAACCGGCTGCGACTCCTGAGCTGGGCCTCTCGGTCACCAGGTCACCAGTCGCTGGGGTCTCCATCCTCTAGCCCATTGGCCGGGGTCCCAAGTTCTCTCTCCTGTCCTCTGCAACAACAAACTCCCTCTCCCCTCCCCTCATTAAACCAGTAACACCCAGGGACACTGAGTCCCACCCCCTCTGCATGCAAACCATTGGAAAACAAGGAAAAACCAAGAAAATCCCCCACTCTGTCTCATCTCTCCCCCCTTCGAGGTTGAACGGAGCAGGGTCACTTAGCCAGTGACCTGGGGAAGTTCAGGGCCCCCGCCCCGTGATAAAGCATCTGCTATAACATTGGCACTCCCCCTCACATAGACCACCTCCATGTCATACCCCTGGAGGAGCAGACTCCATCTCAGCAGCTTGGCATTAGCCCCTTTCATTGATTTAGCCACGTCAGGGCAAATGGTCGGTGCACACGGTGAAGCGCCGCCCAAATAGATACGGCTGCAGTTTTTTAAGCGCCCCCCCCCATGGCCAGGCATTCCTTCTCTATGGCTGTATAGTGCTGCTCCCGGGGCAGCAGCTTCTTGCTCAGGTACACAATAGGGTGTCTCTCCCCCTTAGTATCAGTTTGCATCAGTACCGCCCCCAGCCCTGTGTCCGAGGCGTCAGTGAACACCAGGAAGGGCTTGTTAAAATCTGGGTTTACCAGCACCGGGCCCTGGATAAGTGCCCCCTTCTGGCACTGCTCGGCCCAGACCACCTTGTCCGGCTTTCCCTTCCTGCACAGCTCCGTGAGGGGAGCTGCCAGCGAGCTAAAGTGGGGCACAAACCTCCGGTAGTACCCCACCATCCCAATGAAAGCCTGGATCTGCTTCTTAGTCTGGGGAACGGGCCAATCCTGGATTGCCTCCACTTTGGTTGGCTCCAGCTTCAGGTGGGCACCCCCCACCTTGTGGCCCAGATATGAAACCTCTGCCATCCCCACCTTGCACTTTTCAGCTTTTATGGTAAGTCCCTCATCCTGGAGGCGACCCAGCACCCTCCTCACCTGGGACACATGTTCCTCCCAGCTCTGGCTAAAGACACAGATATCGTCAATATACGCTAGAGCAAAGCCCTCCATCCCCCTTAGTAACTGATCCACCAGGCGCTGGAAGGTAGCAGGTGCCCCCTTGAGACCGAAAGGCAGGACCAGGAACTTGAAGAGCCCTATTGGGGTGGTGAAGGCAGACTTCGCCCTGGCCTCCAGGTCCAAAGGCACCTGCCAGTAGCCTTTGGTAAGATCCATGGTTGTGAGGTACCAGGCGCCCCCCAACTTGTCTAGGATCTCATCGGTCCTAGGCATGGGGTAGGCATTGGACACAGTGATGGCATTGAGCTTCCGATAGTCCACACAGAACCGGATCGACCTGTCCTTCTCGGGGACCCGCACCACAGGTGAGGCCCAGGGGCTGGCGGATGGCTGGATCACCCCTAAAGCCAGCATGTCCCCAACCTCTCTCTCCAGGTCCTGGGCTGTTTTCCCAGTGACCCTGAATGGGGAACACCTGAGGGGAGGGTTGGTTCCTGTCTCCACCCGGTGGACAGCCAGGTTAGTGAGCCCAGGCCGGCTGGAGAACAGCTGCCGGTATGAATGCAGCACCTCTCTGATCTCTGCCTGCTGGGCAGGGGTTAGCTGGTCTGAGAGGGGGATTGATTCCAGCGAGGGGTTAGCCCCAGCCTCAGGGAGGAGTCCTACCAGGGGGTCCTCTCCTTTCTCCTCCCACTGCCCACACACAGCCAGCACCAACTTCTTCCTGTCCCAGTACGGTTTCATCATGTTGGCATGATACACCCAGTGGCTGTGAGCCCGGTTGGACAGTTCCACTACATAGTTCACCTCGTTTACCTGTCTGATGACTGTGAAGGGGCCGTCCCAGGCGGTTGCAGCTTGTTCTTCCTCACGGGGATGAGGAGCATCACCTGGTCCCCGGTAGCATATGAACGGGCACGGGCTGAGTGGTCGTCCCAGCCTTCTGCTTCCTCTGGGCCCTTGCTAGGTTTCCCCTAGCCAAGCCCATGAGCTCCACGAGCCTTTCCCAGAAAGTCCCAGTACATACTCTACTACTGATTCCCCATCAGGAGAGGCCTTTCCCTCCCACTCTGCCCTCATCAAGTCCAGGGGCCCCCTCACCCCCCTCCCGTACAGCAACTCGAAAGGGGAGAACCCTGTGGATTCCTGGGGTACTTCCCTATATGCAAACAGCAGGTGGGGCAAATACTTGTCCCAGTCCTGCGAATGCTGGTCCATAAAGGTTTTCAGCACCCTCT